CTCCCGCTCACCTCCCAGGACAGATTTCACACTGTGTCCAGGTCAGCCAAAAAAGGGGAGGAAATGGAGAACAGCGGAATGATTAATTCTACCTGCTTTTCCCATGAGTGATCACCTGCTTTCGGGGTCATGAATAGCAGGTAGCTCTCCCCGTCTCCAGCTCTGAGAGGCTCATTTGTCTGGTGACAGCTGAGTGACAAGACCTGAAATCCGAGCCCTCAACTTTGCCTGATGTGTGGATAAAACCCTGGATGTTCCCTCAAACATTTCAGGAAATGAAAGTTGTAACGCGATCCCTTGTGCGCCCACATCTCCCCCAGCAACACACAAAAGCTCAAAGGAACCTTCTCGGATTAAATTCAGCCTGGAGAGGATGGAAGGAAAATGGAGAGCAGGCTGAGAAAGCTGGAACTGGCAGGCTTTTCTTCAGCACTTATTGGAAATGTCTGTCCAAAGCAGGGATTTAGAAAGGTCACCTCTACCGTAAGCACCTCTTCCTCCGGCGCAGTCAGACGGGCAGCCCGCTTCTCCCCAGTTTACCTCCATGTTGGGGGCAGCCCGGAGAAGGGGGGGAGAGGTTACACTTAGAGTCCCCGAGCAGGAAATTCAGTGTATAAAAACAAATGCCCAAGGAGAAAGCCAGCCCCCCTTCCTCTCTCCTTGTTTCATTTCCCGGGTCACGTCGAGCCAGCGTTGTCCCACGCGTGAGCCGCACGCCCGCTCTGCCCCTGCCCCGCTGCCGGCCCCTGCCCGGCTCCGCTTCCCCGCTCCCCCCCGGACCCGCAGAGGGGCAGGTACGACCCGGCTCTTGGCCTTCATAACCCTGGGCCATGTGCTGGCAAATCCTCCGCAGAGGCCCGCGGTGAAGAGCGGATGCTTGCTCAGCCGATGGATTTAAATGCGACATTTCCAGGCCTGGCTCCCTAAAGCTCATGCATCCCCAGCTGCAACGCCAGGATCCTGGAGCCGCGTTGTGGTTAGGAGACAGTTGTACCCTGGGTCTTTGCAAACCCGGCCTGCTCAGCCAGATGTCAGAGGATCATTTTGAACACGCAGGTTTGGAAACGTCGGCAGCTGGAACGAGCCAGGGTGTGCGGTACAGGCAGGATTGGGCCAAGGCATCCGGACTCACTCCCTCCCGGGTAGATGCTTTTATCGAGTCGCCTGTCACTAGGCAGCCAGTGGCTGCTTGTGCTGTTATCTGGCCTGAAGATAAAGTTCTATTTAACAATTGTTTAACTATTATTGAAGTGCTTCGGACTCTGCAGACCTGTAAAGAAAATGGCACATGCCCCAAGATAACTCTTCACCTCTGAGCTTCTCCCTTACTCCTGCTTTCCTCCAGTGAGTGGAGAGCAGCTCACAGACACTGCACCGGCACAGGTGGAAACCTCCCTGTCTGCGTAGCTGGTACGTGTCGTCATTGTCAGTAATTTTGCATCTGAGGAATTGCTCACTATGGGGTGATGCTGCTGGGGGCTGGGTCTCTGTATACGTCGCCTTCAGAGGCAGGTGCTTTAACCTGCCTGATGCATGCGGACGTCATTAACACCAGCAGATGCAGTAAAGGTAGAGCCAATGTGGTGCTTGGCCAACCTGGCTGCGATAATTCGTCTTCAAGGGTGGATTTTGCTGTTCCTGCTGGGGCTGAAGCTGTCAGGTTTTCGGAGGGCACCAGGTGCTGTGTGGGGAGAGCAGAGGTGGCAGAGCCCAGATCTACAGGAGCTTTGGTTCAGCTCAAGTGTACAAAGTAACCTGAGACACCGTCATCTTTCCCAACTGGATGTGGATGCAATTTTAAATACGGAAACGGCAGAAAATTTGCTTTAATCTTCAGGCAGAGAGCGCCAAATTTCCAGGCTTCCCAGAGATTATCAGCACTTGCCCCAACAGCAGCCTGATGCTGTCTGGAAGGAGGGCACCAGGCTTGAACCCCCATCCTGTGCCACCCCCTCTTTCCTTCCAACTGGACTTGTCGCCAAGCGCAGGAACATTTCCTCTCTCCCCATGGTTTCTAGCATTTGCTCCCACCTCCCCAAATTTTAAACAGAGGTTGAACTTTCTCCGGAGCATATAATCCCAATCCTAATAACAAGGTTAAAGAGGTAGATTTAGTTCAATTACAATTTCCTGTTTTCACTTGTCCAATGCTTTTGGAAAATGTCTCCGTGGGCAGAGTAGCTCCTTCCCATCTCTGCCTTAGCTTCTCATCCGCAGCCTAGTTCTGCTAGGGTTGCGTCGGTACGGTGCCATACCCGCTCAGACTCCCACGGCTTTCAGCCGT